GAGCGTGGACCGCCATGACAAAGGACGCGCCAAGATTTCGTCCAAGCGCCAGGAGGTGTTTCGTTGCACGAGTGCGCCCACGACGTGGGCTGGCTGGCCACCACGGCACTGCGCGCGTTGCATCAACACGCCGCGGGTGCCATTTAGACCATCCCAAAACCCACGCGCCAACAATCCAAGATGCAGGAGGTTCCGAGACGCCAGCAAGCCCGTGCACAAGAATCGAATGCGGGGCAGTGAGGATCGCACGATAAGCACCAGTTGGAACATAGCGCTTTTCAGTGCCATTCTCCAAGAAAGAGCAAGCTGCCCAGGCGCCAGCACCTGCGCGTTGAAAGGCACGTTAGGAAATGCATTGGTTTGGCAACAGCATCGCGCGCCCCCGCAATAGCTTCAAGCATCCAGAACGACGGCGGGATAGCACATCACAGTTCCCCAAGAGGCCTCTCAGCAATCCAAGTCCGCAGCTGCTTCGCGCGTGCGGGGCAGCATCGAGCGAAAACAAGCGCGCGTTCCAAGGGGCCAGCAAATTCACGTGGCCTGCAAAGCTTCGCGGACAAATTGGAGCTCGGGGCCGCCTTGGCCTCGCAGGCGCGCGAAATCGAAACGCTGCCGCGCCCCGCCAGGGCAGCAACGGATCTCGACCAGCTCGTTGGGTTTCCACTCATACAGCGCCTTCGGAGCGGCGCGGAGCTGTCCGACGCGTGACAGCGTGGAGACACTCTGGCACTGTAGATGGACATCCGCACGCATTGAGGCGGCTGCGCTTGACGTGGAAATCATGCCCGGGCACTCGCGCCGCGGAGCTGCCCGCGACGCGGCAGGCGTCGCCCCCAGACCCGCCCGCAGTTTTTAGTGGTGGAGTCGGTCAAACATGCGAAAGGGCTTCCAGCCAAGCAGAGCCCCCGCAAGGAACGCCTTCGCGTCTGCGGTCGCGGCCTCCGCGAGCGGCTCGAAGGGGGGCGAGACAGCGTGTCGCAGGCTTGATGCGGAGAGCTGCGTGAACCTTCGCACCCATCATGGTGGAGCGGAGCTGGCATGGCCCTCTCCTGTCGAGGAGAACACCGCCGATGTCATCAGCGCAGGCGCGAAAGCAACCGCCCCCTGACTTTCCGAGCGCGGCGCCCCGGCGGAGCCCGATAGGCGCCGACGAGCGCGCGAAGAGCGAGCCACTTGGACCGCGGTCTTGGATAACGCCGCGGGAGATGTGGAACAGCGGGGCGACTCTAGAGGGGGCAGGCGAACCCAATGGGCTGTCACCGCTGGCAGGGCGGGCTCGCCGAAGATCACCGCGACGCACTGCTGGTTGAGCGAGGAGAATGCCTGCCCGAGGCCACGGCCGATCAGCACAGGAGAATGGATTCGGGGATCAGGTTGGGGACTTGCCAGTCGTGCCTCCACGTCAAGCTCCAGGATGTTCTCAGTGAAGGCACTGCACGCAATGGGGTGCTCCTGCGGCGTGGGTACCACCGAAGCCACGACGGGTGCAATCGCCTGGCTGGCAAAGAAATTATGCGCCCAGATCCCGCGCGCACTGCGCACCGTGCCATTGAGCTCGACATGTTCAGCCTGGATGCCGCTCGGAGGGAACGCCCGCCGCGTGCCCCCAGTTTCGCGATGGAGGTGCTGTCCTGACATGACCATCGCAAGCGAGACCCAGAGCACGCCGCATCCGCATGGCGTCGCGATCCAGGCCTGGCATGGAACCTCATCAGCGACCGCCGGTGGTTTTGACGGGGCCAGCCTGCGCGCGACAGCGCCCGGTATTTCCTGCGACTGCGAGGCCACCGAAGTCCAATCGCACGGGGAGAGAAGGTTGTCCGGGCACTGGCTGCACAGGTTTGCTCTTCACGACAACGCCGCCGAGACGGGGCCCCAATGCTGCGAAAGCGCGCTGGTCTCGCCACGATCGCCGACCTCGGCAACGCCGCCGCATGGATTGCGGCTGAGATGCATCTGCCGCGCAAAAGGGCGCCCCGAGCGAGGCCCGACTCTTAGCTTCAGCAGTTTGCCCGCGAATGCTGCTCTGTTTGGCCCTTTAACTTCGCGTGTTTGAATCCAATCTCGAATCGCAGCCGTGAGAAGGCTCTGCCCGTCCAAGGGCGAAAACGTTCGGGGCCCTGGGGAACGACTTCCCGTTCGCTCAGGTCGACGCCCGGGCCGGAGTTGATGGGCCTCGTCGCCAGGGCGCAGCCATGTCGCCGAATAGCACGGGCCGCCCTTTGAGCGAGGCAATCGAAGGACCTGGGGTCTGTCGCTAACATCGCCTCGAAAGCGGCTGCGGCTGCCTCGCGGACCAGCCCCTTGCGCTTCGGTAAACGGGGCGACGCGGCCATCTGTCCTAGACGCCCCTGTTCTGTCTGATCGAGGATGAGGGAGTGCCTCTCTCGAACACTGCGCGCGGCATGGGGGGCGGCCCAGCCGCCGCGCGGGATCACGGCATCGGGGCGACGCGCATCCATCGCGGTGCGAACCGCAGAATGGAATTCGGCGGCCTTGAACGCCGAGCGACGCTGCGAGCCGCCCCTGGCCCATACCGCGTCAGCCTTGATCGCCGACGCGACGGGGCGGACCTCTCGCCAGGAGAGCCCGCGGCTCGGCGTGCTGGCGGGCCACGCCTCCGCCGAGAGATTCGCAGCGGTAGTGCCCGGCCAGCGGCCAGCGCGCGAGGCGCGGCGCGGGCCGCAGATCCGCGAGCGACAGGATTGCCAGTGGAAGCGCCGCCCCTGGGACGCTGCGCGCTGCCGCGGAAGGGCGAGCGCCGCGCGGCCGACAAGGCGGCGACCTCTCGACTGCGCAGATTGAGCTGGCCAGGCGATCGATGCAATTCCTGGATCGGAAAAACGGTGGTCTGAACAACCAATGATTGTAGATGCGCCGCTTCCCCTGAGACTTGAAGCCTCTCCACCTCCATGGGGCTCTGGCGCTCCATGTTCCGAAACAGACAGCATGAGGCGAAGCAGCCAGCACGCCAGGAAGAGCTTTCGCAACAAGATATGGAAATTCGTCAAAGCGACCACTCTTCAGCCACATCGGGGGCCACGGTCCTTTGGATGATGCCCTTGGTCTGCTGCCTAGACCAACCTCTACCATGAGGCCCCAGAACCCAGAACACCCGTAGCGGATGCCGCCCTGGTCGTGGCCCTGTCGAGGAACAACTTCTTGCTGGCAGTTATGGTATGATTTGTTGTCCGGCCCCCGACGAAGCAGGACCCGCGCGTGGCCTTCAAGAGCAGCCGGGACCATGAACGGCACCCACCCTTTACCTTGAGCGCTCCGGGTGCCCGTTGTAATTCTCGCGCCGCGTTCCCCGCAGGGCCTGTCAATCGAACAGCGAATGGTCGACCTTGAGGTTTGCCATGCAGCTCCAATGCGTCTTGGAGATCAGCACCTTGGAGCCACGGGACGAGGGAATCACGCGCACCATCTTCGCACATGAACAATGGAGGCGTCGATATCGCTCTTGAGCGGCCTCTCCGTACTCTTAGAAGAGACTGGAGCATGGTTCGGAGAGATCTCTTTGCGTAGCACATGCATCTGCTGCTGCGGATGACTGGTAGCTTGTCCCTGGTGTCCCAGAAGCGGGTCGTGCTCTTTGGTGCGAACGGCCACCACATCGATAGATTGTTGCATGCGTTTTTTTTCCAGGGGGTCTAAAATCGCTGCGTAGCGCTGCTTGTGCAGCGGAGGGCGCTGCTTTGGGGACGTCACCCAGTGCGAGTTGTAGAGCTGCCGTTGCTTGCTGAACGGGGTCAATCGCCGACTCACTTCACCAGCTTGGCCATGACTGCGTCCAGCTCCTGTTTGGCGGACTTGAGGTTGTCCACGAGAACCTTTCTGACAACGTTCCGAATGCGTGCGTCTTGCAATTCTTCATGAGCGTCATCGAGCATGGTGCCGTCCTCTTCAGCTGCAGATGCGCCACGACTGGAGGACCGACTAAGAACAACGCCACGAAGAGTCTGATAAGGAGGCTTCGCACAATCGACAGTTTTGTTTCCCCGCTTCGCCGCCATGGCAAGTGCGACTTCCATGGACAAGTAAGGTAAGCGGGGGCATCCAGCGTGCCCGAGCGATTCTGGCAAGAACGGTCTGGCTGAACAGCCTTGGCACTGCCGCGGACCAGCGGTATCCACCTGCAATCGGGGACAGCCATGGGTTTTGATGAGCCGAGATGGCTACGGACTCCGCACAGTAGGAGGAGGAGCAAAAGAAATATGGGGGAGGAAGCATACTGCTATTCTCTTGGAGTCGTCTGATGCCCTTTGGAAGTCTCTTGGGGGCCTCTCAGGGGCTGGGATCCCGGAGTGACTCAGCGACGTGAGGCCTCAGGAGGCCCACGGGGCCGAAACCCATGGAGGGAACTCGTCTTCGGAACGTCTTCCTCCGAGGAATCTCCCGGCCCAAATCCGCCCGAAACTGTCCCCTGCAGGCCCCTGCCAGGGCCCACCCCGGCCCGATGTGGTCAATCCGGTGGCTTTCTGACGGCCCATAGGGGCCCGCAGAGCGCCCCCCCGGAAGCCGAAAACGGCGAAGGAACGTCGGCGTGCGCTTCTCCTCTGGCCTTAGGTCGGGCACGTCCTCCTACAGGCGGATCGTGGACGAAAATCAAGAAATACTCCGATGAGATCCAAAAGCTGTCAAGCATGGTCGAACAAAAATCGTCCCCAGACTACTTTTGGACTCGTTTTGATTGACTTTTCCTCCTGTAGAGGGGCACGCTCGACTTCACTCTGGCCTCTTTCTGCGCAGGCCGCTGGGCGCATCCGCCCGTGGCGCGTTTGGCTCTGGCCTCCTGCTCCTCCCCCGAGTCCTCTGGTAGGCCAAGGGGGCTCCAAGACGCCGCCAAGGAGCCACAAGAGACCCCCAAGAGGCAGAGCCCCCCAGGAGGCCCCAAAGAGGCCCCCAAGAGGCTGCAAAGAGGCCCCATAGAGCGCTCGAGGGCCGGCGGAATGAGCTAAGCGATTAATAACTCTGGCCTCCTGCTCCTCCCCCGAGTCCTCGGGTATCTGCTGGTCCTCGGTCATGTCGAAGGCCTCCAGGTAAGACGTGGCCACGAGCTTCGAGCCGGTGGTCCTCCGGCGGAGCCCCGCCCTCGCCACGGGCGGGGCCAGGCATCCGCATCCACATCCTCGCCATCGATCCTCGTGCGTCCGCACTCTTGCCCACACAAGCACAATCGCAATCGTCACCACCACCACCACCACCACCACCACCACCACCACCACTGCCACCATCAAACTGATCATCCACCCCCCCCTCCTCTTCTCGCTCCCAATCCCCCTCATCCTCATCCTCCAACTCTGTCCCCTCATCCTCGTCGCCCTCCTCCTCCTTCTCCTCCCCTTCCCACCCTACTTCTGGTCCACCTTGCCTTCATCATTCCCATGTCATCCTCAGCCTCCTACTCCTGTCCAACAGCCCCCTCCTCCTCTTCTTCTCCTCCTCCTCCTCCTCCTCCTCCTCCTGCTACTCCCCCTCCCCACCGCCTTCTCCTTCTCCTACCCCTCTTCCTCCTCGTCCTCCTCCTCCTCATCCTTCTCCTCATCCTCCTCCTCCCCCTCCTCCTCCTACTCCACCTCTTCATTCTCTGCATATTTTTCCCCCTTAGAGTCCTCTTCCTCGTTCTTCCCCTGCCCCTCCCACTCCCCTCGTGGCCCTGCGTCCCTAGCTGTTTAGCTGGTAATGCGTTGAGCCCGCTTGACATCCCAATTCGTATTGCTCTGGAGACCCTCTCCTCCCTTTTCATAGGAGGCAAGTCCGCACACCATACACCTTTGATCATGATCGAAATGTGGGATGCTCGGCAGTTGCACCAGACCCCTTCCTCTCCTGCTTGGCCTCCTTCTTGTTGTGGCACTTGCCCGATCGCGGAATCATCCGTCTCCCGCTCCTTCTTTTCCTCGCCCCCCTCCCCTCCCGTCCTCCTCAACCTCCTATTCTCCTCCTCCGCCTCCTCATTTCATCCTGAACCCCCTCGGCCCCATCCGACACCACACGGCCATATCCGCGGAGGGAGTGGGAAAGAGAACGCTGCAGCCCGAAGCTGCTGGGACATGCGAGATTGCAAGTCTGGAGGAGGGACGGAGGACGTTGAGGACGTTGAGATGAAGGGCAACGCACGTCGTGACACACAAGACCCAGTTACTGGCGACAATCATCCACGGGAGCCTTTCGAGCCCCCTTGGGCTGGCCCTTTACATTGGGAGAAAGGCTTTCAATGAGACCTAGCCAGGTTATGGCAGCAGGGAGGAGGGAGGAGGAATGGGAAGAAGATGAAGCAGAGGGGCGTCTCGTATGGGGCTCCACCCTAAGATCGCACCTCATCTCAGATGTATCGCCAGTGCCTCCGCGATGCCAGAACGAAGGACACAAGCGCCTGGGTCGCTCCACTGGCGCACGCACTTACGCGTGCTGGGCCCCTGTGAGAAGCAGAGTGCTGTTCGTGGGGGCCGGATGCAATGACAACAATCGAAAAAAAACATTCACTGAGCCGACGAGATAGCACACAGCATCAACATTTTAGCGTCTACATGTAGAGCGGCGGGGCGGCATCATATCATCATCTAAATTCCCAGGCCGGGATAGTGACTTACTACGAAACTTACAGAGCAATGGTGAAGATGATCGAGTGCGTTCGAAACGCATCAAGACACATCACAACGCAGCTGCAAGTCTATGACAAGAAGAAGGGCGGCCGGAAGCGGGAGGAGTGGGGGGGCAGGGGATGAACCTCCATCTCGACAAGCTTCGCGGCTCGGCATCGCGCCGTCCAACTGGCCTGGACGAACTGGCAGGATATCAGAACGAGGACGAGGGGATCAAGGAGGAAGAGAGGGGATGAAGAACGGAGGGGAGGGGAGGGGAGGCGAGTATGGGGAGGGAGGGGGGGGAACGTGAGTTCCTCCAGCGTCGCTGAAGGGGCCCTGGGACACACAAATAAATACACACACACAAAAAGGATGCCCCACATTTTCCCATATCTTCTGGGTTCTTGTCCTCCCCCCCACTTCCCGTATTTCGTATATTTTCTGGGGAATCGACGATTCATTGTGTCTGCATGTTCTTGTTCCCTCCTGAGTCCCGGCGCACCGCGGCCAGGGCGGGCCGGCGCAGAGACCTCCGCGCAGGCCGGCAGGGCGATGGAGCCCGCGGGAGGCGACGGCGGAGCATGCAGACCGGGGAGGGGCAGCAGAAGAGAGAGAGAGAGAGAGGCAGGGAGAGGGGAAAGAACCATGCACATCCTCCGATGTTGGCCAGGTCCATCCTGGGCCCAAGATCGGTGCATACGCCCTCCCGCCTTGGCCGGGAAGGTACAGGCCTCGGAACAAATTAGCGAACACATGCCATATTCATCCATCAACGCCTCCCCCTGCCCCCAATGTTCAAAGTTGGCGGTGGGTCTGATGAGATGCACTTCGACCGCAGTTTCCCCCGCGCGTGCCAACGTTGAGTTTGGGGGGGAAGGGGAGTGTTCAGTAATTGTTTCCCTCTACCGTATGTGCACCGATCCCCGATCCTGGGTCAAGGATGGACGTTGTCAGGATCGGTGTATGTGCATAGTTCGCTTCGCCCGAGCAGGGAGAGGTAGAGGGAGGGCAGGACGGTTGAAGAGGAGATGGGGAACTCGGCTTGGCAAGTGCGGCGCCCTCCAGCCAGCCGGGGAACAAAAAGACGGCACCAAAGGTAAGGGGCGGGGGAGGGAAGGGGGGGGGGAGGGGAGGAGAGGAGAGAGTCGAACAGCAACCCAGACGACGTAGTCTAGGGCGAGAACGATGTCATGATAAGATTGGCTCAGGATGCGTTCCAGGATTCCTGAGAACCTTGGAAATCCTGGAGCGCATCATTATCATGACCTCCGGCTCCTCCGATAACCCTGCAATTGCAGGCCCAGCCGATTCCCCTCTGCCGCCCCGGCGGCCTCGTCGCAGGGCCAGCGGCGAGGGAGACGGAGAGACGCCCCCCCTCGCCAACCATTGCGCGTCGGGGGGCCCTCCTTCTCCTGCTGCTCCGTCCCCTCTTCTTGGCGGCGCGCACGACGGGTATAGGGGGAGGGGGGAAGGCTCCTCAGAAGGAGGCTGCTTCTTAGAAGGCACGGGTCTTACATTTACAGACAAGGCCCGCGCCTTCTGAGAAGCAGGGGTGCGTGCTTCTAAGAAGCCTTCTCCCCTCCCCCCATCCCCCTCTGCGCGCGGCTGATCCTCACTCCCCCGTCAGAGAACCTCAGCGACCAGGAACGGTGCAACGCTTATGTTAACAGCACGCTACAATGCACCTCCGACAAAAAATATGACGTCGAGAGCGGCGGCCTCGAGGGGCGGGAGAGCGGCGGCGGCGGCACTTCTCCTGCTCCTCCTCTTCCTCCTCCTCCTCCTCCTCCTCCTCCTCCTCCTCCTCTTCCTCCTCCTCCTCCTCCTCCTCCTCCTCCTCCTCCTCCTCCTCCTCCTGTTCATTTAAAGAAGTTCCATGGAACTCATGCCATCCTAACCCTATAACCCCTGGAGCGTGAGAAAGCCAGGCCCCGCCGTGCCCCCAGGGACCACTTCCGGGGAGCGCACCGGGCGCGCCGGGCGGGTCCCGGTCCGGGGCTCTCGCTCGAGACATCCTCGCAACGTCGACGCCCTGGCGCGTGAGAAAGCCAGGCCCCGCCGTGCCCCCAGGGACCACTTCCGGGGAGCGTTCGCGCGAGACATCCTCGCAAGGTCGCCGGATCGCTCGCCGACGGAGGCCCCCAGCAGTTTGAGGAGGCAGAAGAAGAGAAAGGGGAGGAGAAGGAGGAGGAGGAGGAGGAGGAGGCAAGAGCAGGAGGCAGGAGCAAGAAGCAGGAGGGGAAGGAGGAGGCGAAGGAGGCCAGGGGCAGGGGCATAGGGAGGAGGAGGAGGCGGAGGAGGAGGAGTGATAAGGTAGCTCCTCGCAATGTTGATTATCACCCTCTTGATGGCCCCCCTCATGGCCCTCGCCCTTCCGATCCTCATCCTCATGATCCTCACTGTCCTGATTCTCGCTCTCCTCACCCTTATCCTCCTGCATCACGACCCTGATTCTCACCCTCCTCCTGCTCATTATCACTACCCAGATCCTCGCTCTCCTCGTGATTCTCCCTCTGCCGATCCACACTCTGCCGATCGTCTCTATCCTGCTGCAAACTCTCCCGACCCTCACCCATTGCTGATCTTCATGATCCTGAGCCTCGCTCTCCCGGCCCTCGTTTTTCACATCCTCCCGCTCCCGCTCCGCGCTAGCCTGCTCCTGAGCCGCGTGACTCTCACTCGCCTGATCCTCCCACTCGCGAGCCTCGCCTTGCTGATCCTCATCCTCCTCATCCTCTCCCGCAGCACCACCGCCTCCCGCGCCCGCCCCTTCAGATGTGTATATATAAGTGCATTTATGCACACCTATAACATATACATATGTGAATACCTAGAAATATACAGAAACTCCCGATCAACCGCAGAGCGGCCGCTAATGGTACCCTCCTGGTCTCCCCTTCTCCGGCAAAAAGCGCAGCAGCCGCGGCGCCGCCCCTCCTGAGAGCGGCCACGGCGAGGGAGAAGGAGAAGTCCATCTCGCCGACAATGAGCATCGGCGGCTCCGCCGCTCGTTCCGTAGGTAAGACGCCCTCCCCCGCCCGCTCGCGAGGCGCTGGGCTGGATTGCGGCGCGCGGGGCCACAGTGACAGTCCTTCGAGCGAAGGGCTCCCCGGCACGATGCCCTCCTGCTGCTCCACTTCCTCCTCCTAGCAACTCCCCCTCCCTTGCCCACCCTCAATCCCTACCCTCGCCACTCCCCCCGCCCACCAATCCCTAAACTCCCTCCTGCTCCCCCACCCGCCCCACACCCTCCGCCCTCCTCCCATTCCCCATTCCTTTCTCCTCCTCCTCCTCCTCCTCCTCGTCCTCCTCGTCCTCCTCCGTCTCCTCCTCCTCCTCCTCCTCCTCCTCCTCCTCCTCCTCCTCCTCCTCCTCCTCCTCCTCCTCCTCCTGCCTCCTCCTCCTCCTCCTCCTCTCCTCCTCCTCCTCCCTCCTCCGTCCTCCTCTCCTCCTCCTCCTCCTCCTCCTCCTCCTCCTCCTCCTCCTCCTCCTCCTCCCTACTTCCTTAGACCGCAATGGCTTAGGCCTCTTGCCCGTGGCCGCAGGTTGCCTGGCGCGCCAGCTCTCCTCGCTGGCCACCCAGATGCGGCATTATTACGACTGAGCGATTGTCTCCACAGCCAGCCTGGCCCAAACGGCTGCGGGGAGAGATTCGCTGCCGACCCGCGTGTCCGACGTACTGGCACAAGCTCCTCGCATACCACCCTGCGGCACAACGGCAGCCTCCGCCGTCAGATAATTATGGCTCGCTGATGGTCGTGTCCGTCTTGCGCAATTTTGAACTTCGGCGGGTGGGAGGCGTGCCGAACACGGGCTCGCAGCAGGATGGCGACCAGGACATCAACAATGACTATTAGCCCTTGCCTGTCATCCCCGCCTTCCCTATGGATGCACGGATACATCAGGGATGCCCTCAAGAATTGCCAGAGAATGCGACCTGAGCGCAGGGCCTTCGTCAGCAGGGCCCAAATGCAGCGTCGCACACATGCTGGCACCATCACAATGAAGGCATAAGCTAGGGATCTTGCAGACTAGGAGCGAGAATGGTGTGCTGCAAGGGTCGCCTCGATACCCTTGCCCAGGCCTTGCCAAGAACACATCGACCGCCAATCTCCAGCCATTACGCAGGACTCCAGGACAGGCTCTTCAATCTGACATCGGAGCCAAGTACGACGAGCTCCCCGAGTTCGAAGCAAACCGAAACCCAACCGCAGAATGGGTGAGTCGCCACTTTGTTGTTTTGGCCAGGATCCAGGCGAAACCTCCCAAACCGCCGATGGAGGAGGAGGACGCCGACGAGACGACGATTCCACAGCCGGCCAGGCAGCAACATCCTTTGAGGCAGCAAGCAGCGCCAGAGGCAATCTTGTCTCCGCTTGCTGAGGCAGCGTCGCCCCTCCGCGAGGCCGCCCATGTCAAGGCACATACGCCGCCCGAGCCTGCCCGGCTCCAGGGCCACATCAACAGCAGCACTCCGGGCTTCATCAGCCACCAGCAGGTGACCGACATCACCGCCAAGAGCATCACCTCGTAGATGTCCCCGAGCACGAGGCCCACGTGCCCGCGCTGCAGTCCCACTCGGCCGCGGTGGCCCTCGCGGCGGTCGCACTCCTGCATGTCCCTTCTTGTGATGGCGCGCCTCCAGATGCTCGGCCGAGGGCAGCCGAGCCACAGAGACGAGCAGAGCCAAGTCACCAAGCCTCCAGACGCTCGCCAGAAGGAGGCGTCGAAATCACCTTGCAGAGCGGCTCTCAGCGACGCCCCGATCATGCCAGCAGACAGCGGAGAGGCATCTGCAGACGAGGGGCAGGATGGGCAAGCTGACCCCCCACCCCGCAGGCCAGCATCAGCGTGGATGCTTCTAAGCTGGGCTGTCAAGAAAGAGCATGTGAGGCGTTCTTCATCCGCCAATAGAAGTGGCAAAGTTTGCCGAGTGCCCAGATATTTCCAAGTACTTGTTTCAACCGCTAAGAGATGGCGTCCATATCGATTGGCGCGCCATCACCAAATACCTTCTTGTCGTGTGTCGGTGAAGGGCTACCCGCGATCTCCATGCATAAACCTGCAGCTGGCCAAACCAGGTCGCTTCGTATCTACATTATCTATACTGGTGGCCCTGAGGGTCTCTCATCTGCCTCGGTTCAACCATCTTGTGCAGCGGCAATGTTTGCAGCGGCCTGTGAAGACCAGCATTGTTTGATCGCCTACGTACTTCGCGGGCACCGTCGTTTCAGAACCAACTGGGTATCTTGCCCAGCAAGGTAACTCTGGCCATCAGGTATCGGCGTCATGTGGGCCATCTCCTGGACGCTCCAGGTCGGGGCCCCTGATGCAGAATTCTCCCTGAACATGTCTGTCCTCAGGGTTGCTCCTCGCCGTCCGCCTCGGCCTGCTAGGCATCACGTGACGCCGTTTCAACTACTGCTTGTCGTCAATCTCCACCTGTCCACGAATGGGATCTGATCATTCGGTCTACTTCTGTTCCAGGCATGTAGGTACCGCTGCAAGTCAATACTTCAAAGATCATGAAATCCCGATTGGGACGAACACCCCATCGTGTGCCGACGTCTCGAGCACTGCCGTGCTGGACAGCAAGTTGCAGCTTGCCCTCACATGTGCTACTGCTCTCACGTGCACAGACGTGGCGTGGCAAGCCAGATTTCGCAAGACTCTACACTCTGTTGGCCGGCAACGACAGCTCGCAGCTCCATTTCTTCAAAAACAACGAAGTTCAACTTGATAGGCCTCATCGGAAAAAAAAGGATACTGAGGCGAGGTTGGTCACTATTGGGTTCGTGCGTCGTCCTCTGTGGGCCCCACACGGCATCGATATCTCACGGGTGTTCCCTGGTGTCTCGCCAGCGTCTACAACGGGTCCCCGGGAGGCCAAGTACGACGCTCTCAATGCATAACCTAACGATAGCAAAGGCCACGTCAACCATACTAGACGTCAAAATGGCGGTGCTGTCCTTTAACACCGTCGGTATTGTTGCACACATCCGAAATTCCCACGAAAAGGGTTCTGACAGGCTAGCATGGTGTGATAAGTTTCGCAGCGAGACATCAAGAGCGAAACAACATGCATCTTGAGTCTTTCAGTGTCATCTCGTCCGCGAAGTGACGGACTCAGTTGTCTCTCCTTCCGTCGGAGCGCTTGCGTCTACACATCAGACTAACTGTAACGACCCCCCTTCACTCCACCCAACCCGCTGCCGACATGGGCTTACCATCTATGTCAAGGCAATCCCCTCGATTCTGCGGCGTGGATGCCTCCGCGGGGATACTCCCTTTTTCCGACGCAGCGATTATGTAGCTGTACCGTTACAGGCAATACCGTGGGCGTACGGGTTGCTTGCCGGCAGGACCATCGAGCTCACAATATCTCTGGCAAAAGCACTGGTTGATTCAACCAACTACCGGTGTCTGTGTCCTTGGGCATCCCCTAGATCTCTCCTACCGCATCGCCCAGGCCTGGACAGCTGGGCGCGAAGCTAAGGCGAGAGCCAACGTTGAAAAGCACCCGCCCTCAGTCCGATCAGCTCTTCCAAATGTTTGAAGCGAATTCGCGCGGCGCTGAGGCGAGAGCCACATCTTGAAAACGGCCCGCCCTTCATGTGTAAAACCGTTGCCAATGTTTAAGCTTCAGGGTCACACATGGTGAGGACGTCTCAGGCGAAACGCCCGACCCGCCCTACAAATTGGGCGACAGGGAGAAACGATGTATAAGGAAAAGGGATGGAGGAGGAGGAGGAGGAGGAGGAGGAGGAGGAGGAGGAGGAGGGAGGAAGAGGGAACAGGAGGGTGGATCGAGGACCGATGGCTCAGGCCAGCGCCTGTCCCCTGCCCCTGCTGCACCGCGAAGCACGCACACACACACGCACACTCACACACTCTCGTTCATCCACACAAGCCCGCCCGCGCCTGCGACATAATCCTCGACCGGGCACGCCGCGCGGTGTTCTCGGTCCAGCCGGCGGTATCGATGAAGGCGGTGTCGGGTTCCAGCCTTGGGAGGACGCAGCCTGTAGGCCTCCCTCGGCCACGTCAAGGCCACACTGGCCCCAGGAATGGCAGATGTCCCCCCAGCCTACGAAGCACGTGCGCCGCTCCTGGATCCATGCTGGGCCCGGCCAGGGTCAGTGCAGGATGCACGTGGCGTCCGACGACAGGCGGAGCGGTACGAAAGCGACTAAGAGGGGAAAGTAGAGAAATAACGCGCACATTAATATATGATGTCAGAGGTCTGCGCAGATTCTTGAATCGGCACTGGACCCCTTGGCAGCGCTCCCGGCGCCACCCGTGGCGCGCTGCGCGCGCCAGGGATGGGGGTGCAGGGCCAAACCAAGAAATACGCGCAGGCCTCCGTAACTTTTTGCTCATGTCCTTTTTCTGCACCGAGAGAGGACGGACACAGAGGGAAAAGAGAAGAAAGGGAGAGCTGGGTGAAAGAGAGGAAGAGCGAGGGCGAGGAAGTCGAGCAATCAATCTCGGTGCAGATCTACTTGATAGGTCGTATATATACATATATATATATATCATCGAGAGATGCCGACACTGGGATCGAGCTTGGGATAAGACGGGCAGAACGTTTCTCCATTGACTCCATCGTCGCACGTTGGTTTGTACAGGCGTGCGCGCGAGGCGTGCACGACTTGAGCCGACACTGTTGCGGACGTACGATTGCTCACCTATAGCTATCTTCGAAGTGATGAGAGGAGCAAGAGAGCGATGGCGCAGAGGTGGGGGGGAACTGGAAGGAAGGGGAGAAGAAGCCGAAGCAGCAGAAACAGTTGCAGCAGCAGGCGGGAACGAGTGGCTGGGAGCAGGAATGGCGGCAGGCACAGGAGATACAGGAACAGGCGGGGAGAGAATGTTTGGCCGACTTCGGACACCCCCTCGATCCAAAATGCGGACGTCTCACTCTCACTTCCGCCGTCCTCCGCCGAACTTCCGCTGGCGTCCGCTGGCGGACCCGCCGCAATCTTCTACTCTGCCGGCGTCCGCCGGCCTTCCGCGAACTGCCGCCGAAGGCGAGGCGCGCCAGAGGCGAGGCCATGTCTGGAACGCTACACATGACCGCACAGGGGATAGATAGGAGCACCCGTTGTCCCCCGGGCCAGCGCGCCCGCAGGTCTGGAGGACCAAGACTGAAGCCACCACCAGCCCTGCCCAGGCCAATCCTGGGAGCTGCCCCTCTCCCTCCTCCTCCTCCTCCTCCTCTTCCCCCTTCTCCTCCCCAAGGGGGGCACCTCAATTGAAAACACAAAATGTGCACCGGTGGAGAGATCAACAATATAATAAAATCAGAGATGGAAGTTCAACATCATCATCAACAACTGCAGGAGCAACAACAACAATTATGGTAAGACTGTTCGCTCTTACTGGCACGCGTGTTTTGGATTCTGTATACCCCAACCCTCGTTACCCGCCCACTTCGTATTCGATTGCACCCATTTTCGGGGGGAAGATCGTCTTGTCGGCCACTGAGTGAAGTGCGAGAAACTGTCAAGCGAGAGCGCCGTTCCTGAGTTCGGGGGCATCTCTGGCCAAGGGCTCTCGGAATACTCTTGGACAAAACATCAAGCGGGAACCTTGTCGCCGTGCCTGGGGCCTCCACCTACTTGCCTGAATTACGAAAAAGTCTCAAACGAGAGCGCCACTCTCGAGTTCGAGGGCCTCTCTGGCAAGGGCCTTTGCGAATACATCTTGAAGAAGTATCGCACGAGAGCCCTTCTCGTCGTAGTTGGGCCTCCACCAAATTCAGCGCCATTCCTGAGTTCGGGGGCTTTCCTGGCCAGGGGCTCTCGGAGTAAATCGTGAGGAAGTATCGAGCAGGAGCCCTTGTCGTCGTGGCCGGCCCTCCGCCAACTTGACTAAATTGCGAGGAAGTCTCGAGCGAGAGCGCCGTTCCTGAGTTCAGGGGCCTCTCTGGCCAGGGTGTCTTGGGGTAAATTGTGAATAAGTATTTTTTACGACGACATGGGAGCGGTTACGGATGAAACTGGTTTCACAGGTGGGGAGTATCCACGTGTGGCGGGCGCGACCGCACCAGCAACACCGAAGCCCTGACTGGTACCGCCGTACCCGCTAAAATATTAGTACATTCCTTGCTCGTCGCTGCAGTGTCCAACTGCCTCTTGCCTGCTGATTAGCATGGCCTGTCGCTACAACGGTGCAGCTCGCTTGATGCGGGCTGGCATGCGCTGTGCGTTGGAAGACCCTGAGGGCGGTTCTGAAATGAGGCCTCGCACTGATCCAAAGCTGAGGTCTTACAGACAAACAACATCCTGCTATGGAGGGTGACGAGAATGGGGGAGGGAAATGCTCCTCATCTCCTACTCCTCAAGGATAGCAGGAAAGGGGGGAGAGTAAATAGGAGTCTAGCTACGGCTCTGGACGATGGGGGCCTTGGGGGGGACCTCTCGGGGCACATCATGAAAATAAAAATTCGGCAGCCTCCTCATCTGCGGCTAGATCGTGGGTCTGTACCTCAGAATCAGCACTATCTGATGGGAGGTCACCTGTCTGATGTGCGAGGTCCGTCTCGGGAGCAACTGTGGGCCTCACTGCAAGGATTACGCCGCCAGATACCAATCGTAGTATCCTGTCATTCGTCGGAAGTAGCCTAGCCATATCGATATCTCCTCCTCCAGCCAGTCCGCTGGGGCTGGGTCCAGGTGGTGCTTCGCGTTCCCTTCTGAGCGAGGGCCAGCGAGCAAGAAGCCTCGGTCCTGCCAGTCCTTGGCGCCAAGGATCAGCTTGGCGGTGTTCGGGTCGTGGGTCTTGTCGGCGCTCAGGAAGGCGACTTCGGCCTGGAGGGTCTCTACGTCGATCAGTGGTTCGGGCTGAGGGTCCTCTGACTGGCATTTCTCGAGGTACTCTTCGGTCCCTTTGCAAACTCGACCTCCCACTTCGCATGTAATTACGTTTCTTGGGGACTTCTTTAGTGCCTGCACGAAGTCTGCTGAACTAGGCGACTCGTGAGAGGTCGCGGTGGCGGTAGGCTTCGGTGATTTGTTAGTCGAGAAAATGATGCCACCATGCCCGTTTCCATTGGGCATGTTCGCGGAATCGGCGAGGATTGAGCTTGAGATAGATGTCATCGACCGCCATGCCTTTGTCACGTAGTTGTGCACGTTCTCGGAGGAAATGTTGTCGTATACGCTGATCATCTTTGAACCGAACTGGATGTCCTCCATGGCGAAAATAGTGTAGAATCGCTGCTTGCTGGACCAGGTATGCAACGTGTGCTGCATGTCGGTCGGAAAGCTGGTCATGTTGGGAAACTCGGAGAGGATGTGCATGTTGAATAAGCTGCTGATGTAGGTCACGTAGGAATTCAGCGCGTCGGTACCCCGTCTGTGATCCTGCTGCCAGCGGGGGCCAGTCCCATCGTAGTGCATAGTCGATAGAAGATGACGTTGGGCAATAAAGTGGACATGAATAAGCATTGGAATGTAATCGAGCATGCGAGGAAGGACGCGCAGGCGTTGATAAAAGCGCCAGCATAATTTGAGCTTCGTAATATTAGGAAACGCATCAATCGGGCCGATCCAATAATCAATTCTGCTGCGAGCGCCGCCATTGCCGAAAAAAGTCTGCCCAATAATCCAGAATGTGTTATACGCGCAGAGCTGATTGATGATGAGTCTTTCGTGAATGGGTGTGCCTACGGTAGTCTCTGGGGCGGGCTGCTGTGATTCGGTGCTGTCGTCCATACATATGGCCCGATGACGACGTCCCATGCCTTGGTTGAGGTCGCTGAAAAAGAGGGGCGTCATGCGTGTCGGAGTAGAAGTAATCTCTGTTGTAGTCCATTGCCAAATTCGTATGCATGTCCGTTCCGTGATCTTGATCTTTGCGTTTGAGCTATGTGGGACTGGAAATAGGTAACCCACAATCAGCCTGTCTCGGACATGTCCTCGTACAATATCAGTGGCGCCTGCACGGCCCTGTAAGTCAGATGGCGGGGAGGCAATTCTGACTACGTGCTTGGGAGAAAAATGTCGCTTACGTATCGCAATGGAGCATCCACAGGCGGAAGTAACATGTGGGGGCCGACCCCCGTCCCAGTGTATCCAAAAGTGGTATCTGGATTCTTCACGGTAATGTAATGGCTGTGCAATCTGTCGAGTAGCTGAAATCGATCTGCTGGAATGCCTCCTGGATCTCGGGGTCCCTGAAAATCTTCCGAATGTCGTCGTCGATGTCCCAGAGGCCACAGAGGTCGTCGCTGATGGGGGCTGCAAGGGCACTGAGGAGGTCCTCGCGGAGCTGGCGGGCCCAATATGTGTGCCAGGGCGTAAGATACCGTATTGGTTGCGAAACTCATGGCTGATAGAGTCGGTCCTGCCAGAGGGACTGATCAATGAATAGGGGTTCCAGCCTACGAGCTTCGCGTTCTCGCTAAGTCGTACTAAGCTGCTGCATCGTCGCCATGTCGTCATTCAGGGTCTTCCACCAGCAGCGCCGCGCCGCGCGGCGGCGCACACGGAGCGTCAGGGCCAGCCTCTCAGCAGGCTGGGGGGTCCATGGCGGGTGACTGGACTGCACGAGATGTGCGGGAGGGAAACGGGGGAGGTGTGTGAGGCCTGCTCACACGGGGGGGCTCGAGCCTTTCGCGGCCTTGTGAGGAAGTATCGAGCGGGAGCCGTTGTCGTTGTAGCCGGGCCTCCAAGGGCCCACATTTACAATCAAGCCAACGCTCGCGCGGGCGCCTCGTTTCCAGAGAAGATTTCGCCGGCGTCGAGGCGAGAGCGCGCGGAACCGTTCCCGGAGATAAGCAATAATGTTCTCTAGAAATGAATATTCAACAGCTACAACACCACCACCACCAACAACAACAACAAACAAACATGGAACTGACACAACTTCTCCAGATCTTCCTCCTCCTCCTCCTCGAAGCATGAGGTCGCGCCTCATGATGGGCCGCGTGGGCAGCCGCAGATGGTCCCGCTTCAATCCGCTGGCACCCCGGTTGACGGGTGCGTCCGAACGCCGGGCTCGGATGTCCATTGGTGCTGCCATCCTCACCCAGGCCTTCAGAGTTGACCTGCACGCTGTAAAAGGGTGCTGGTCCTGCTTCTGGCAGGCGGGGGAGGAGGAGAAAGAGAAGGATTGGGAGGAGGAGAAATGATGATGATGTCGATGATGATGAGGAGGAGGAGGAGGATGCGACAGGGCGCAGTTCCATTGAGCTCGTCTTTGTTTTTTTGTTTGGGGTGTAAGACCGTGCTTCGCACCGACATCTTGCCTCATCTACACACCTGCCAGGAGGAGCCCGCCCTCCCCCCCCCCCCCGAGCGGCGATGTCGTGTCGAGGGGGTTGGCGATTCTGACAGAGAGCTCCTCCTCCGAACCCCACTCGTTCCCCTCCTCACTCTCCCCTCCCTCCCCCGTCCCCTCTCTCCCCCTCTGCGCCCCTCCCCCTTATTGTCCCCCTCCCACCCCCTCCCCTCCCTACCTCCCTGTCTCCTCTCTCCCCCCCTCCCGGCCCCCGGAAGGGGAGGACGAGAAGAAGGAACATCGAAGGAGTTTGCTCGCGCGAAGCGCCGCGGATTGGAGCGGGCACGTCTTGAAGCTGCGGAAGTGGCGATCTCCTGACGGGTTGCTGCGCTCGCCATCTCCCTCGCCCTCCGTCCCCGCCTCTGGAAAGTACTTCCCTCCTTCCCCTCCCCCTACCCCTACTCCCCGACCCGTGGCTAGGGCGTGGCGGGAGGAAGGAAGGGGAAGGGCGTAGGAGGAGGAGGAGGAAAGAGAACAGAAAAGGAATATAAGTAACATAACAAAACAACACATAAGGAGAATCAGGGAACGAAGGAAAAGGAGGACGACCAGGAGAAGGCGGAGGAGGATGAGGAGAAGATTTCAAGATACATCGAAGTTTCGGACCTATCATATTCCATGTGTAGAGATAGAGGAATCGTGGTAACTATCTACCCGTCGTGTAGGAATACCGATGGTTTCTCGTTGGGAATGATGAACAATGACGGCGATAAGCAAGTTCTGCTGGGGGGCGAAGGGAGGAAGCAGGGGAGGGAGAGGCGTCCGATGCTCACCGCGATCGAGCAGGCAAAGCACCACAGCACCACCTGTGGCTGCAAACCGTGCGAAGGGTGTGCCAGAATGGGGGCCTACGAGAGGTAGATGATGGTAACAAAGGGCAATGATGATCACAAGGGATAGTCCTGATAACCTGATTCAATGTACAAATCGTACCTTCCCTGGTGGTAAAGAAAGGAACGGCCTCGCCGCTTCGCCCGCCTATCACATAAGTATCACGTGGCATGCGGTTACTACTGCGGCTGCTACGAAAAAATGAGATTTTACGATGGATAATGCACTCATATTAATGATACGATTAAAACTAATAATGAGAATACGGGCCATAATGTCAACGCAACCAACAACAACAGCGATGAAACTGCTACTACGACGCTGGCGGTCGATACTAAGAGCGGCACCTATTCGCACGACACTTCAACAACTCTTTGTCGCGGGCCCGGTGGACGCGCGGGTCGGTGAACCAGCTCAAGGCCGTTGTTGAACGACGAGAGGAGCACACCACGGGATGGGAAAACAAAACCAGGGGCGGCCATGGACCATGTACGCTGGGGCAAGCGGGGCAGCCAGTTCAGACCGGAACGGTTTCCGGAGGCGTGCAGCGGCCTGGGCTCAGGAGTAAAACAGGGCTAGGATCAAGATAAATCGCTCCAGAGCGTTCCGGAGCGCTCTCAGAGCGTTCCGGAACGCTCTGGAGCGGCCGCAGCGCCCAATACATCCTCCAAACCCGCCGATCCTCAGAGATTTCGAGCTATCACGATCCGATTTCGTCCCGATCTTCGCGTCGTTTTAAGGAGAGGTGGCGCGTTCAGGCACGCGCTGGAAAAGATCCGGCAATCCGGGGCACGCCGATCAAGCTCGGAGGTGCCAGTATTGGCATTACGCTCGGTACTGATCACAACCAACCGGGCCATCGCCAACGGAGCGCCACCTGGCGACGCATGAAGAATCCATTGCGCTCCCAGAGCGCCCAACCCGGGCTGCCGCCAAAGGGGGTTTGCTGCGGGGCCAGGCTGGCGCCTGCGATCGAACCAAAGGGGCAAAGAAGAACGGGAGCTGGGCCGTCTGCCGGGACGAGCTGGCGGCCACGGGCCCTGGGGAGGACGGTGGGGCTCCGGCGCAAAGAGGGCAAACCGAGACGGGAGCGGGAGGTGCCGGCCATGGCGCGCCCCGAAGGACTGGGGGAGCAGGAAGAGAGGCGGAGGAAACAGAGAAGAAGAAGAAGAAGAAGAAGAAGAAGAAACGCATTCACCGCTGGGTGCATCGCCAGGGCCAGGAGCGAAGGCTGGCAACCCGGGGCTGCAAAGGCAGCTAGCGTTGCCGGCAGTTGGGCTGTTGCGCGGCCGAAGCCAAACGGAGCCTTGCGCCGTGCCACCAAGACCGAAATACCCCCGGTGGCCCAGGATGCGACAACAAACCGATGTGTTTCGGAATGGACCTTGGAAATAACATATTCAGATGGCATGAGAACCCAGGAGCCGGGTAAGATCCGAATGCAACAATGCAGCGCGCACAGACAACACAACTACAAACTACTGCCTGGCATTGGATTCCGCGATGACCTACACATCGATCGAAACATACCGCATGGCACGCTGTGCCCATCACGACAACTCCTGCTACCACGACTACCACGACTGAAAAAGATAGGCACATTGGGAAGAACAGACGCTGCTCCGTGCGAATAACCACCCCCTCCCCCACCAGGCCGGCCGCCAGCGGGGAGCAGTGCCCCCCCCCCGCCAGTCCTGCAACAAGCAGCTCGGATCGCTGTAAGTCAGCGGGCACCAGCGAACCGAAGCAGGCGCGGTGGGCCGGTCGGGCAACGGGCGGGACACGCCGGGGGGCAGCTTGGGGGCACGCACGGGCGCGGGGAGAGAGAGGAGGCGAGGAGGGGCCAAGAGCCGCCCAGAAGGAGAGGTACTTCGCGAGCGTGTCGGATGGACGCACGAGCGTGAGGTTGCGGGGCTGCGTGGAAAGACGCGGGGTCGGTCGGAGACCTGGGACCGTGAAGTGGAAGACCCTGCGGAAGTACCCGGAGCATGAAGTGGCCGAAGGCGCAATGGCGCAGAGGCACTTGACCTGGAACGCGAGGGGCTGACCGCCAGGTAGAGGAGCCTCAATGGGGCGGGTACGCCAGGGAGCGCTAAGCACCCGAAGTGCTACAGCGAACTGCAACAGCTTTGCACTGGTTTTGACCGGAAGGAGGGGAAGCATATGAGTCCGCCGCTCGCTGCGCCACTACCCCTGTCAAAAACAAATGCTATTGCGGGTGTGCAGGTCGGAAACCAGGCTGACCACCCCGCCGCCGTTTTGCACTGGCTTATGACAAGGCGAGGTGGTAGGTCGAAAAGCTGCCATATGTCTGCTGACACGTGCACTGGCGCACCTGTCGCCGCTTGGCACACTCTGCGCGCGTCGCGCACCTAGCGCATCCTGCGCGCCTGGGCACGCCTGCACATTAGGCGCATCTGGCGCACAAAGCGCGCCGGGCACACTTGGGCCCCTGGGTCACTTGGCGCACCTGGTGACCGCAACGCACTTGGCGCGCGTGGCGCACTTCCAGAACGTCGCGCACCTGGCATTGGTTCGAGATGGCTGTCCTTGCGATGGCGACCTCCGCTTATGCTGAGCTCCTGGTGCTCAAGATATGGCTGGAGGGCGGGTGCGTGGGAGTGAACGAATCACCGTGTGGCGTATCCGTTGGAAGTTGATAATAATCGCCCTCCCACCCTCCTACATTGCCTTTGGCCCAAACCCTCTCCTACTGCCCTTGCCGTCCTCCTCCCACCCACCGCCCCTCCCTGCCCCCCTTTTCGTCCTCCTCCTCTCCTACCCTGCTCCTCTACTTCCTGCCCCTAGCGTCTGTGGTAAGACCGGCACACCAGACCTGGAAAGCCTCTTTAGATTTGTCCTCACGTCTCCCGACTTTCTTCCCTCCGATTCCCCCTCCCTGTTTCCCCCTCACTCCTCCTCCTACTCCTCCTCCTCCTCCTCCTCCTCCTCCTCCTCCTCCTCCTCCTCCTCCTCCTCCTCCTCCTCCCCCATCCCTTTCCACTATAGATATATCTTCCCTGTCACACCCCCTGACGTGTCGATAAGGGAGCTGGGCGTCTCGCCTGAGACACCCTCACCGCTTACATTCCTGAATCTTGGCGCCTGTACCAGACTCAAGGATGGAAGGCGAGTGGTGTTCAACATGTGGCTCTCGTCTTGGCGCCTCGCACTCTCGGCCGACTTACGTCTGCGCATCAGGATCAAGGATGGAGAGCGCGTGGTTTTCAACACGTGGCTCTCCTTTGCCCGCCGCGCGCGTTCAACTCAAAAACGTTGCAGCAGCTTCGAGGATGCGGGGCGGGAGGTCTGAAACGCGTGGCTCTCGCCCCGGCGCCGCGCGCATGCGCGCCAAAAGCTTTGCAGGAGCTTCCAGGGGTGCAGGGCGGGTGGCTTTCACACCGTGGCTCTCGCCCGAGCGCCGCGCGCATCCGTCCCAAACATTTTAATCTAAACCGCTGTAAGGATCGCCCCAGCGCTGCGCGCATATTCGTCCCAGCAGCTTGCAACAGCTTCGGTGGCTCGTGCATGCGGCTGCAGCCCGAGGGCTGGTGTTCTGGCACCATGTACGGCTGCCATGACAGGACGGTCACGTCTTAGTCGAAGTGGTGAGGCTTCAGGAACGGCGTTTGGGCACTATTCAAGGCTTAGGGCTGTCAGGATGCAACAGTCACACTGCTCCGCGGCATTTGAGCCCAAGGGTTTGTTTTCGACGGTTGAGGATTTTCAGGCGGTGCCCGTTCTTTCAACAGGGCACTTCACGCAATGAAAACAATTTCTTGTAGGGGCCTATGGAGAGGGAACTTGGAAGGGATAGATTCTTGAAACATCATGTTGATGCGTCTTGTGTTCGCATTGGGCCTCCTCCTCTTCCTCCTCCTCCACATCATCATCATCAGAATGATAATCATCATCATCACCTTCTGCCCCAAGCCCAGGAAGCTGAACGTGAACAGTGGCCGCAATCGACCCGACACTGTGGCCTCACACGGACCACGAGACCATTAAGCTCTACAATGACATGGTCGCCGAGCCCGAGCCCCCGCAGCGTCGCCCCCCGCCTGAGTTGGACGGGGACCTCGCGGAGGACCAGGTCAACCACGTGATCGACGACGACGGCAAGCGCTGGAGGGCCGTCGCGACCGACGGCGCATGCCGCTTCTCCAAGAACCCGTTGCCCGCGCGGGCGGGCTACGCTATCTATGTCGCCCCTCGGCACAGGCTCAACTTTGCGGCGAAGTTGGCTGGCCCCCGCCAGAGTAGCGCACGAGCGGAGGCAATAGCATTGCTCCACCTCGTGCGTGTGGCGGAAGTGCCTATGTGGATCTTCTGCGACAGCGAGCAGTGCGTGAAAGAGTTTCAGAACTTGTTGGACGGAGGAGCCCCACCGTCAGGCAGCTGGCACGGCGTTTGGCATCACATTCAGACCGTGCTCGAGATCAAGAACGACATGTTTCACATCGAGCACGTCTTCTCGCATCAGGGCGAAGACGGTGGACCGCGGAGCCGTCTCGCCCCTTGCCGAAGAAACGCATAAAGAAGTAGATCAGCCTGCCGCTGATGCCGCCAAGTTGCACCCCCTCCCGACCTCAATGATTAAAGGAGCCAGGGCCCGTTTTTTTCCTTGACCACCATCACGCACAAAACTATAATAAACATCCTAGAGAGGCGAACCCTCACCCGACCCCTGCCCATCGGTCCGCGGGGTACACTGGGGCCCACCTCGCTCGTCTCGCCCCGTTGACCTTTGTCCCTCTCCTGCCTCCTCCTCCTACCCCTCCCCCCCGACTGGGGGGAGGAAATGGGGGTGGAGGGCGAGCTCGATGATGCGGCCGATGTTGATGTGTTTGGATTTGGCTTAGAGCTCGGTTAGCCGTCTTTAATCAATCCCGTTGGCGACGATCGTGAATAATGCCCCGTAATGCCCCGAGGCTAAGAGGCCCGCTGTCTCCGTCGCGGTTTGTTGTGCTGTAAACTCAGTCATCAGAGTTTGGAACAGGGGATGTGCCCCTTCTTGTGCAGTTGTTGCAGATGATTGTGCAGGCCCAGCGAGCCTAGACTTATCATTCCAAAGCGTAGGGCATCAGCATCATCACCAATATCACCATCATCACCATCATCATCATCATCATCATCATCATCATCAGCAGCAGCAGCAGCAGCATCTTCAGTATCCTCATCTTGCCAATCCTTATCATCCTCCTCCGCCTCCGCTGCCGAAGAAGACGCCACCCGCGCTGGGCGGCAAGGGGCTGGTCGTCTCCGCGGACGTGCGTGCGCCAGGAGTCCAGGGAAACGACCGCCAAACAGCACAGGCCTCGGCCAGCCCGACAATGAGGATGACAAGGAAGGAAGGGAAGGAGGAGAGGATAAGGAGGGAAGGGGGAAGAGCGGAGGAGAGGGGAGGAGGAATTGGAGGGAGAGGTGGAGGATGAGGAGGAGGAGGAGGAGGACATGGAGGAGAAGGGAGGAGGGACGGAGAGAAGAAAGAGCAGGCGAAGGAGGAGAAGGGAGGAAAGGACGAGGAGTCGCAAGGAGCAGGAAGTGGGGGAGGACGGGG